TACTTTTTCTTCTTTTTGCTTCTTTACAATTTTTCTTCTTTCTTAAATTCTCGTCTTCTCCTTTCTTTTCTATTGTTTTATCATATACGCCAGCAAATAGAATTTACGTGGGAAGACCACGTAAGAGAAGGGTACATCGGGAGGCGTTCGATCGGCCTCCTGCATTCCGTCGGGAAGACCCAGTGTTTTTAGTCCCGTCGCGCGTGGCGTCATTATTGTCCCCGCCGACGTTGTCCTCGTCCTCCTCGTCGTCATCGTTTACCCCGCATAGCCGTTGATCCAATTCGCAAAAGCTCGTAGAGACTTACTAACTATAGACCCGACGATCTTGGCTCGAGGGCCACGCGACCTGTCGATTCCAAAGTGGATACAATTGAACGTATTGGACAACCCGCGTCATAGTAACTGCATCGGGCGCAAGATCGATGCTCAAAGTTTTTTCTCTCCTTTCAACACCTCCCACATTCCCGTTTTTTTTCTTCTAATTTGTTCGAGTGTCACGCATCTCGAATTCACGTTTTTCTGACGACAATCGATAGTTTATTTTAGTTTATTGCGAGCAATTAAACGAAATTATTTTCATCTGTTTAGCAAAGAATTGTATCTGCAATCATCTATAAATTTGATTCTTATCTCTGTACGAATGTTTTAATTTTGTTTCGTGTTTTTCTATAATAAGTTTTTACATAAGTTTTTCTTCTTTTTAAACAGTTTTGTATAATCAATGATATCTACATTGAAAATTCATTTTTATTCAAACAAATAGATGTACCCTATTTGTTTTATTAACATCACTCGAATCATGATGATTTATTAAAAATACACTCAATCACGTACACCTAATCTCCAATGCAAAATTCCAATGTTTAACGCACTGATCGTTTTTATTCTCCAATCATTCTCCTCTTTCACGATGTTTATTCAATTACTTGGACAAAATCTACATGAATCACTTCAACCAGTTAAAATATCATCTATCACCTTCGAATTTATGATTTCTTCCATTCGATTTTTTACGCTTTTCGTTGTCACTCTCGATACATTCTAATCACAATCATAAATTTAATTTCTATTCTCCTCGGAGTTATTTCTCTTGGCTATTTATTCTTTCTTCGTCCAACGCAGTATCCAACGACCTATTTACGCGAGCGTCTCCCGCTATCTGACTGATACTTCTCTGGAAGAGGCGCGCGTGCCGCAAGCGGGAACGATAGGCCGCGCACGGGAGACCCGTGTTCCTGCCTCGCGGTGCACTTGGATCGCACTGATTTTGCGAGCGGCAGCACCGTGCACGTCGACGAATTTACGTGTGCGTTTCGTCATCGACGAATCCGACAGAGCTGGAGGGAGAGAGAGAGGGAGGGGCTGGTCTAGCAAGAGGGTGGCTTTTTCCCCACCCTGGTGAGCGAAGAGCGTTCAAGCCACGAGGTGAACGAAAAGAGTTCCGGCCTTCAATGTCTCCCCCGATGTGCGCAAAATATCCCAAGAAACCCTTTTTCGCCCGCCTATCGATTTGCAAAAGCTTCCTCCTCGTTGATCCTCTGTCAAAGGATCCGTCTCACTTGAAATTGAACGTGTTTTTGTTCAAGAGAGAAGAGTTGATCGAGGTGTCGTGTTATTCTTGCTACCATCCCTCCACTCGGCAACTCTCATCGATTACCCCAGAGTTCGAACTCGCCTTTTAAATGGATCGTTTACTCCGGCTGCTGTGTATTGGTCCATATCGGTTCTTCTTTTTCATTTAACTTGAATCGTGATTCTATATTATGCGTTATTTCGTCATTCATTGTTTCGTTATTTGTTACATATATTTGGAACATAAATTTTATTTTATCCTTACTTTGAGATTTATTCGTTTTTCTTTTGAAAATATTCTCTCTATTCTGAAAATATAATAAATGTATTTGTATTAACTATGTAAGTAAGATGTAGATGCGATATCTAAAATTCGAAAAATTATTATAAGTAGAAAAACAAATATTTTGATGGAGTTCTAAATTATTTTTTATAGTAAAAAAGCATACTTAACTATTAAAAAGTTCGTGCATAAGTGCAAGTCCCTCATTTCTTGCTGTATTTTGAAATTTATCTACCACGTTACAAGGATTGCAGTAATTTTTTTCACCTTGTTGTACGGGGGTTGCAGTAATCTTTTTATCGTGTTATATCAACACATACTGCACTCATTTTGAAAAAGTACCAAACAATTTTGCACCAATCAAAGATATAGAAATCATTTTACGAACTTTAGCTCAAAAATCTCTTCTCCTCAAAATTTTAATTCATTATCTATTCGATTAATTTTATTCAGCTGTTATTTTAAAGACAGTTCTATATAATAACGCATTTTTTTTTATAAAAGTATATAAGGATAAAATTAACATAATTTCATCGGATATATATCTTAAGTAATTACAAAAACAGCGTGTCATTTTGATAAATTTCACGTTAATCATGCGTAATTCTAGTGTTAATATAAATCTCTGGATCATCGATTCTAAAATTCCAAATCTAATCAAACATAAGATCCGATCAATCTTGAGCGTACTTTTCAAGGAAAATCCGCGTGACGTTCGCAGCAACGGGAGGCTCTCGTTTTCTCGAGCAACCAAGCATCGCGTCGATGCGATAGCGGATCGATGACCGGCGATCGTTACACACAGCGAGAGGAGAGAGAAACAGAGGGAGAGCAAGTAGAAAGGAGAGAGCGAGGAATACTCCTCCCTCGCGTGTCTTTGGCTCGATATGCCTGCTGGATGCACGAGCCTCGACATTTTGACGGCTTCCCTTGGTGCGACCGTGCGTCACCCCTCTTTTTCCTCGTCACGCGTGCGATGCAGTCGCGCAGATGCACGCGAGTCCGCTCGCCCGCGTCCTCGGACGCTCGCGCAGAGCATATCGACACTTTCCGGTGATCTTAATTGACCACTCGGCTTGCTCGCTATGCGCTGGCCCATCGTTGATTGCACGACTACCGTTTAGCAGTGTATTTAGCCCGAATCTTTGCACCCTTTCAATCCGATACTGATTATATGGTTGCTCGTTGTCCTTCATCTGGGAAGACGATTCATCTTTCTTTTCCTCTTCATTTCTTCTTATATAATAATTTATAATCAATGTACTGAATGTATCAAATTGAGATGTTGAATTAGAATCTCTGTAAAAAATAGAAATTTTTAAAATTAATTTTTAAAGAAGCTATTATGAAAATATTTTTTTAAAATATTATTGGAAAAAGATTTATGATATGATTTTATAATAGAAATTTTTGAAAAGCTTTTTTTAATGAAATATATTTTTCCTACCTTTTTATAAAATTAATAGGGATTTGTCATTTTTCTTTGATTATTCTTGATCTTTATGATTTTCATTTTTATAATATTCAATGAAATATGCCATTCACAATCCTTGTTACTTATTACACTTTTTTTTTTTTATTTCATTTCTTTTCATATCACGAGTTTTAATTTTTAAATTTGAAACATTTTGTGAAAGAATATTAATATTAAATTTTTTTCATTTATTTGCCACTATTTAGTTTTCGTTTATTCATGAGAAAAACGTTCAACTATTTATTAAACTAATGTTAATTTAATGTAATTTCACTGGAAATATGATAATAGAAAAAAGAATATGATTACGTTAAAAGTGAAATAGATATTGGCTCAAACGATCGATCCGTCTAATATGCAATTACTATTTGCATTCGATGTATCGGTTCATCTATGGCATTCATGGATTATTCGCTATTAATTAAAACAGTTACAATAGTTGAATATGCACACTCTCGTATCCCCTACGAAACCGTTCTAATGTCACTCAATTCGTGCAACTAAACTGATGCATCGAATCGCAGAAACGGCATAATCAATAGCCAATAATCAAAACGGCAATCAAAATAATTTAATCAAATAATCGTGAAATAATCAAATGACCAAAATATCATATTATTATAATCATTAAAAAGCATAGAATTAAAATAACTGAGCATGAAAAAGAAATGAATTCCTTTCTTCTAAATACAAAAAATTGTATCTCAAAAATATAGAGAAAATAATACCTCCTAAAATTAGAATTTTTTGCAATTTCAAAATTATGAGTCAATATAATTATTGCATTACAATGCAATATTTTTTTCCAATCAATTTACATTATTGAATTCTGTTTTTATAACATTATAGTTACAAACAAAAATTCTAAAAATTTGTTCAATATTTTTTTCAATCACTATTTTTTCTTTAAAAAATTGAAATAGGTATTAATCCTATAGGTTATTAAAGTCCTATTGAAATTATTTTTATATCATGAAAATTATTTTTCAACTTTGATTTACATAATTTCTATAAAGTATCTATTTTATGTATTGTATCAGACAATATTTACATTTTACAATCATGTTGCAATCATTACGTCTATGACGTTTATGCATGATGAATATACATATATGCTTCTTGCACTTTTTCGTCCTGAATTCTGTGAATTAGCTAACAGAGGAGAAAGCGAACGATCGCGGAGAAGCTAAAATGCGATTATAGCTCGTCGATTTGTGGGTGGGATAGCAGAGCGATACGAGTTTTGCGGGTCGAGGTACAGGGCACAGGGTGGCAAGCGGAGAAATATTCTCGGGTGAGTGACGGGGAACGGGCAGGAGGGAACAGTAGAGACCGGAGGTATTGATTGCGACGCGACTCTAGGAACCTGCCCGATACACGACCGCGCTCTACCTACCTACCTACTACCTACACCCACCGACAAGCGCGATTATTCCTCACATATCCCGTGTTACTGAGCATTCACGCGACTAAATGTCCTCCTAGCTGTATGCAGATCCTCACTGCAAAATCCGTGAGATTCTTCTTAAATATTTAGTGTCGATCATTAACACACATTTGTGACTGGTAATATTTTTTTTCCCATTGACCAAACGTAAATTTTTTTTTTTTTTTTTTGTAAA